CGAACCCACATCTTCAACGAACAAGGCGAAACTATTGCAACGAGGACATCAGCTGTGACAGTTTCATTCACCCAAAAACAAACCATTCACCTTACATGTACTCATAAACACTAGCTCAATCAAGTAAGTGACACGTTGAACACCGAGCCAGAGGCTTCAGTAGCTTAATTCACCACTAGTAGTACATCACTCTTAAACAGCAAAATACACGGCTACTTTGCATCTGCTACAGTTATGGTTGCAGCGATTGTTTAGCTCTGAAATATATATTATTTCATCCATTTTCTATGATTTTATGCAAACCTGTGATCTGTAGTCAACAATTGCGCGCTCCCTTGTTGATGTTGAATCATAATCTGCTATTTTATAAGCATTGATTGCATTTTTAAAATCTATATAATTACTATTCATTTTCTGAATATTTTTTTCTCATTTGGTGGTGGGCAACTGTCTCAACAGGACGAGATTTGTCATAATAATGTATACTTTTCTTTATCAAACTGGGTGGAAAGAAAGAAAATTTGCATTTTTCTGAAAGGTTAAGGTAGGGCATGCAAAATAATATAGATCTAATTGTGGTGATTTTTATCAAAAATGAAACGAAATACAATGTACGTGTACTGTACGTGTTTCAAGTGCCATATCATATCATACATGGGCTTATTCACTGTCACCTAAAAGGTTTGTTTGTTTTTTTTTTAATCTATAGCTTATAGTCATGTACATATCCTGAGATAAATCCATTTTCAGTACAAAATCCATGTTCAGTACAAAAATGAACGATGAATAATAAATCCACATAAGTTATTGTGCATTAGAAAGCACAACAGAAACAACTATAAAGTCAATAGTTTACACTTTCTTTTAATTATATCATTTACAGGGGAGTCCACTTGCCAGGGGCAGCCTTTTGTGTACAATTTTGTAGCCTACAGTTTTGTTATGTCACTGGAAATACAAATTGTATTGTACTAAACAAGTTTTTCAACATGCACTCCCCTTGTGTGTTCGTTCACAATTCACATACAAATGATTGAATATCTTCACATGAATGTTTTGGGTTTCTATCTTTTTTTTGAAAAATAATTATTTGAATAAAAATATTAAGAAAAAATATTATTCTAGTTAACATGTTCTTTAAAATGTTCTACCCCATTTTTTTAAAAATACACGTACAGCATTGACATTCTTACTGTAATCATAATTTTTCACAATTGTTTCTACTTTACCAAAAGAACACCGGTCACCCAGTTTGTATCATTCTGGACTGACCTGTGGATGGCTCTCTGGTTTGTCTCCTTCGTCTGCTAGCAGAGTATTCTGTCAGATCAGAAATGGGCGCTGGCCAGAGATCCAGTCTCTTGAATAAACTGATCTGAGATGAAAGGGCTGTTAAACCCAAACTTTTTAAAGAGGACGGTGCCATCCACTAGATATAATTGAGGCCAAAGCCTCATCAGCTTCATGTAGCATCTGTCCCACATTGAAGGCGGCACAAGGCCGAAAAGTTGGGAACGGATACTACACTTTGATCTTAACCAAAAGGTCGAGAAGCTATGTTAAACCCAAACTATATCATTATAAGGTCGCTTTTAAGCACAAGGGAGCTATACCGAAAAACGCTGTTTTGAGAAAATCAAAGGTAAAGTTTTTGCCCCTTGTTCAGTTGTTCTCTTTCAAAGACAAGGAGAGTTTTCTCTTTTACCAAACTAATATTCACACCAATGAAACCCAACTTCTCCTATAGGTAGGGCATAGGGCAATGCCCACTTTTGGTGTAGGTCAAAATTTTTGGAAACCCCCAAATTTGGGTTAGCCCGCTTGTCCTTAAAAGCAACTATATGACACTGGTGTTCACTTTATATTTATCGCAAGTGCACAGTCAGTTCACTTGGTATCATTTTGGCCTGCGGAATGGATGGCCCTGGTTTGAATTCTAATGGTGTGTTCTGAGCTTGGGTTGTTTTGGGGAGTGTTTAAGGCTCTCCACCCATAAGGCTCAGTCCTATTGGAGATAAACATTAACTTGGGAGGCCCCTGCTCATATAGCCTGAAAGTATTAAAAGAAGCATTATACTTATACAATGACCAATGACATCAATTGTTACTGCTGCAGCTACCATGAAATTTGCCATTAGTTGTTGAATAGAAATGCCAAAGTAAAAGTGAATAAAGATATAAGTTTCTTAGCCTCCAAAGACTTCCTCAGTGGAGAGAAACACATCTATCTAAAGTCATCACCATGACCAAAATCATCACTTATTATCGGATACAAAATGTGACACATGGTGGAATTACGCGCTCATCAATTGTTAGGAATATAGGGTTATTCGTATCATCTTAAAGCCTGTTAATTAGCCTTCCTTTTCTGTGAAAAAATTATCCACTTGTGTCAAACAGTATTCGAAATATTTGCGATTAAAGGAGGTCAGGGTCGCCTGGTTTCAGAGGTAAAATTAGCAAGAAAAGGGCCACCAAAGTTTGGTAACTTCCATAGACT